CCACATTTTTAAAAGGAAATGAAGAAGTCAGAGAGGGCCCAGAGGTGGGCAATAAAATGGCCAAGGGCTTGGAAGGCAAGTCATACAAGGAGAGGCTGAAGGAGCTAGACATGTTTAGTTTGTGGAAAAGATGCTTAAGAAGATACATGATAGCAGTCTTTAAATACCTGAAGAACTGCTATAAAGAAGAGGGAAAGTGCCTGTTCTCTCTTGCCACAGAGAGGAGGACATGGAACAATGTTTTAAAGTTGCAGCAAGGTAAATTTAGATTGGATATCTGCGAAAATTTTTTCATTGTTAGAATAGACTGCCTAAGGAAACTGTGGACTCTCCATTACTGGAGGTGTTCAAGAAGAGGCTGGGCAGCCACAGGCCAGGGATGATCTAGGTATAGCTATGCCTATGTTCTAACATGGGTATTTCCTGTGCTTCTGGGCTTTGCTGTTTGTCCTCATTCTCTGTTTCTGCTATGTGTGTCACCTTGCTTTTAAGCCTCCCTCAGAGTCTGACCTCTGCTTGGAGTCAGACTGATCACCATATTGGGGGTCAGGAAGGAATTTTACCCCATGATCAGATTGGTACAGATTGTGAGGGACATTGCCTTACTTTGTAGTGGGGTGTGTGGCCCTCTACACAAGGTCTCTTGAGCATGTATTGACAACATTTCATAGAAGCAGGACCTTGGCTGACATGGTTCCCCTGCTTCACGTGTGGAAGATTAGATTTGTGTTGTGTCAGGGTTGATGGTAATCTTATGTAGAGTTTAGATTATGGATTGTATAGGATTGCTTGGAAAGGGATGATCCTGCTTCCGATAGGGGGTTGCACTAGATGGCCTCTGCAGGTCCCTTCCAGCCCTACTTTTCTATATTTTTATAACTCTATATGCACTAGGACCCTACTTCTGAGAAACAGTAGTCTCTATCAAGTTTGACATTTTCAATTTAATTAAATAGTAGTTATCTGATTCCCCTTTACAAATGACAATTAGCCAAGGATAAATTTGATTACATTTAGAATTCATAAAAAAATATGGAGCACCAGTTCAGCTGTGTAACAGTAGCACACGGTTCCCAGAGGTACTACCACATTTATGAAGGTGAGGGACATAAACTAAGGAATCAGAGTTATTTTAAAAAAATGGATGATGATGCTCTAGAAGGAGTTCTGATCTTGCCCCGTGTACTGAAGAAACTAGGTCCCACTCCAGGGAAGTGAGAAAAATTGCTTTTCCTGGGTGGTGGGCATTTTGCTGTGTCATACAGAAACAGCTGTCAGGGAGAAAATGGATCAGCTAAGGGTTTTAGGACTCAAGAAGAAGAAATGAGGATCTCTTCTGAAGTCACCCTGAGGGCTTATCTATATGGGAATGGTAATTCAGATTATGAATGGATGTGAATTTAAAAGATAATGGCTATGGACAGGAATTCATTTCTGAAACTCTTACCAGTAGAAAAACAGCTTGGGAGCTGGAGTGTACATAGTTTCCAGTCTCTGGGCTGAAGAGCTACACAGAGCTGCTCCCCGTGCTATTGTCACTTTTAGGAGAACCTATTAATTGACTGCCTGCTCTCTCTCCTGCCAGGGTGTCAACTGGCAGTTGGTAGGGGCTGAAAAGCAACAGTTGCCAGACATCCCAGAGAGGGTCCCAGCCCCAGGAGAACATTCCCCTCCTTGCACTGGGATGGGGGCTGCCTTCTTCTGTGGTGGGAACCCTCCTGATTTCACTCTTTGCATGCCTCTAGTCCAACCAGGAGGAGTGCAGGGGTGGTGGTGTAGGGGGGTGGGGGAGCATTCTGCTGCATGGCATGACAACATGCCTCAAACTGCTCCAGGCTGCCCCAGAGTAGCCTTGGAGGAAGGGAGGGAGGGAGAGCAAAGGACCATGGGATATCAAGTGTCCTCCACACCCAAGAAAAGAGTACTTTGGAGTTAGATGGGGAAGAGGGAGAGCTTCCTGGTCAGTATCCAATATAATGTCTTGCAGAACAGCCAGTTCTTATTCTGAAAGAGCTTTAATCTACTTTGTGAGTTGACTAATTCAGAGACAGTTAAATCAGAAATAGTTATCCCACAGTGTCACTCTGGAATACCTCAAAAACCTTACTTTAGATTTAATTTCCATTTCAAATGAGAAGACTAACTTTTTTTAAAGAAAATAATGTGACACCACACTTTCACTCCAGGGTCATTTAACCAACATAAATCCTGAAGGGATGTACTGATAATTATGGACTCCTGCTTTATGCAGAAGGAAAAATGAATCAGAACTTTATTTTGCTGCAAACTCCCCTATCCACCACCAAGTTGGTAATTCAGGGTCAAGTTATTGTATCAATAATAAGTAAAATCAAACTAGAATAATCAGGATGTTTGGCTGCTCAATACAACTGCTTTTTCTAACACTGGGTAGTTAAGGACTGGAGAGGGTAGATCATGTTATGTTCCCTGCATGTTGGCAAGGAAGAACACTGTACTAGACACACATCTACAGGGTGTTTCCATCCTTGTAATAGAACCCCAGCCACATTTATGAATATGCAGAAGTGACTGGCAGTTTTGTACATGAGCATCTGCAAGTGTACTCTGTATTAGGACAAGAAAGAACACAGTTACTGATCTGCAATTAGCTTTTGCAAAAATACAGAAATTCAAAGGAAGACCTAACAAAGAATCTCCGAGAGAGGGAGTAGTAAAGCTAAAAGATATGAAAACTCTGCCATATCTCCAAAGCTTCTAGAAAGCCTCAGACTTAAATCTGAAGCACAATACATACTTTTTTGTCTACATAAAGATACTAGGTAGCATTTTTAACAAGAGATTAAGTGGTTTACATGCCTAAATCCATAGGATTTAGGTTACAAAATTACTACACTTCTATAAAATATTTACCCAATACATCCTTTGAAGGAATTATGTACATAGGACTGGGAAGGCAATACAATGTTTTTACTTAGTAACAAAATATTGCGTCTCTCCTTCACCATCCCTCCCAAACCCTTTCTTATTTTCCCCTGTCACCTCTCACTTCTCATTATTCCCACATAAAAATGTCAGGGCTACCGCTGACTGGTGATTTTATTTCCATCTGTATTTCCCATCTTGCTAAAACGGCATTTATCATAGCCTAAATGTATCTACATTTTTCTTGCTTTTAATAATGAAAAAGTTCTGGTTCAAATACTCAGAATGTCATACCTTTACTTCCAAAATGCTATATAGGTTTATCTTCCAAAACCCCACTTAAGGCACTTAAATCACTGATTTCAAACTATGCACCTTGTTATCTGTACCCTGCATATCTATTCAACTACTTAATCTGCTTTCATTCCACTGTCTTCCTCTCCATCTCTGCAGTTACTTCAAAATTAACCCACTTTCATTTAAAAGACTTAAAACTCTTAAGGGGCTTCTCATATTACCAGCCATCCTATATGCTCCCTTTATTCCTCTCACAGTTTTTCCATTGCTTTACTTCTTCATGCCTTTTCTTATTGAGTGCACAGAGACAGAACTCTTTAAATTCACTTTGTCTTTCTGGTCACGCTGTTTTAAACCTTATCTCAAAACCTATTTCTTTTCTTCCTATTAATGATATTTCTAACAATCTCTTATAGTCTTTCCTCTTTTCATTCATGATATTTGGTTGTTCATTGTTTTATTTTTGCAAGTGATTGCTGAATTCTATTGCTGTCTTTCTCCTATATTCTTTGCTTGACAGTTTTTACAGCCAGTGGCACACAGGGGAACAATATGACTAGCACAACGTCTGCCTGCCTTTGACTCTGAAGCCTCAATGAGCAGGTCTCAGTTACAGCTAGCCTGAACTCATGCTTCTGGAAAGGCATATTAACCACGTTGCCACCACTTCTTGGTACATTAAAAATATACAGTGTAACATAATGTAAAGTTATTTGCTCAAAAAATAATCCAAGAAAAAATATTAGCATTTAACAGCTATTCTGTACCTTATAGAATGATCTGGTGTCCTCATCCTCTAAACCCTATGCATATCGCTAACATTTATTGGCACCCTAACCGACCATTTTCTGACATCAAAACTAAACTATAACTTTGCTCACAGAACAGTTCTGTGTAACCCTATGCTTACACATGTGTGTAAAACACAGAGTACATTGCTGGTTCTCTAAATCAGTGTGCCAGCTACTTTGCAAAACTAGAGTGCTCGAGAGTGTCCTGTTCATCTGCAAGCAGTGTACTACAGACTGGACACTGCAGGGGAAGGTACCACTGGTGCTGCTTGACCTCTGCATATTCAGTGACAGAGCTGTTGAGGTAACTACTTTCATGAGCACCTATAGGGATTTACTTCCATTTTGTTATAAACAAGTGATTTTACCAACCTAAAAGACAAGCTATTTCTTTTAGACAATACTTGCAAGGCAAAATTCCAAAAGCTGAGTAAATAAAGTAGCCTGCTTAAATGCTCACACTGATATCTCAAAAGGAATAGGTATGAAGAGAACATTTTCATTTTGATTACATAATGGGATGTGATAATAATGAATTCTGCTGAGGGATCATGATGAAAAGACACTAAGCATTACAATTAATTTTTTAAAAAATAATCAGCATTTTTCAAGGTGAATTATGCTGTGGAGCTCAAAAAGAGAATTTATAATTTCCTAGATCATAATAATTGTGCAACAACTATTTTTACCATTGAAATGCAATGTTGTTGATTTTACCATACAGCAACAGAAAACAAATTAGGGTTCATTCTTGCTTCCATTTATGTCAATAGGAGATCTGTTTTAAAGAGCAAATACTTTATTTTCTGGGAACAGTAAGACAAATTCTGATTTTGAACACCTCCAAGTTACAGCTAGTTGCCCTGTTCTTTACACTGTCCAGATTTGAACATCAATATAAAATGCAAATTACATGGTCTTAGATCACATCCTACATCCCAAATGGCAAGAAGCACAGAAGTCTGCAATATTTTTAGCTTTAAACTTGTTGGAAATGTTCACCCTTACCTGTCCACCATAATAGAACTCTTCAGAGTCATTATCTCCTTCAGAATCTTCTTCAACTGTACTATTGTGTCTTGACTCCTTATTTAAAAAAAACAAACAGAAAATAATAGCAGAATGATTTTTTTTCTTTCTTTTTCTCTCAGACAAACGCCTCACACAGTTCTTTGAAAGAGATTTCAAACAATATTTTTGGAGATGATATTATAGGTTTCATCTGACAACCACCAAGTCAATAGCAAAATTCCCACTAATTGGGTATGGAAAATAGTTGCATATCTTTGCTAGATGCTATCCTGTGGAGTTCTGGGTGGAGGCAGAGTATATATTACATTAAGACTGTTTAGATTAGATAAAATAGACTGATCCTTATAAACCAAGCTGTAACACTCAGGGAAACAGGAATCTGGCAGCTGAATAAAGCTATCAGAATCAAGTCCTGTATGATCAGACTGAATTTAAATTGCTTTATTCATTCACAACAAAGGTTCTACAATTAATTAATTTTGAGTCTTAGCTAATGGTCTTACAGGACACAAACTTACTGTATTCTGGAAAATCAATTATAAGATCCTCTGTTTATGCATCGGTAGCAACAAACAACATTAAAAGCCTTATATGGTAGACTCAAGACCAGGGAAGTCTTGAGTACCTAGCTCAGATCATTTTTCATACAGGACTCCCTGTCACATCTGCTAATAATCTCCATTCTGATAAAAGTGGTTAGACTTCACCAGACAAGATCAAACTTAATTTTCTCAGTAGGTCTAGGGCTCTTCTAGTTAGGTATGGATACTAGATTCTGACCCTAAGTAATTTACTTAGTAGCTTATTTTACTATTAGAAACTACATTTAAGTCATTGGGACTAATCATGGAAGAACATGCTAATTAGGGCTATGCAAAGCTTCGGTCTCTGATTCGATTCGGTGGAGATTTGGCCCAATTTGGTGGCCAAATCTCTGAATCCAAATTGAATCAGAGGACCCTTTAATCTCTCTGAATCAAATCAGAACCCTCCAAATCAATTTGGAAAGATTCGGCAATTTGAATATAGACACAACTTTAAATGTGTTTTCTACATACCTCAAGGTGCCAGGAGGCTTGTGAACACTGAGATGGTGGGGCAGATGGAGTGTCCCACAGGATCGCGGGGGGGTCCCCAGCACAATTGGTAGCAGACCCAGAAGTGGACCACAAGCACTTCCGGTCCACTTCCGGGTCCACCAGGGAGTGCACAGGCCCCCCAACTCCCCCGTTACCCAAATCCAAATCAAATATGGCCCATTTCACATATCCCTAATGCTAATCAGTTGAAACAAGATATCACAATCTAGTCCTAAAAATTGAGTGTTTTCTTAATATCAAACAATTGTTTAAAGAAAGACTTCATACTTGTTTTCCCATAATCCACTTGTGATTCATTGACTCAATGTTACCAAGAAACTACCATAAATTAGTACATGATAAAGCCATAAAAACACATTTGTCTTGTTTAATAGATAATTTTGTTCTATATTATGTACTATATACATGTATCATGTACAGAATTTTCTTAATGGAACAGAAATCATCTGTATGAATCAATAAGGAGAATATTCCTCTCAACCTCATAGATTCATAAATAATCAGATACTCTATCAGTTCCTTATAGCATGAGATTTTAATCCTGTTTCTTGCCTTACTTTGGGTTCTGTATTCACGCAGTATATTGTGCATGTGTAAAGAGAATGAAAATCGTATTTTTAGTCATTTTCACAACATTTTTTATGATGGCATAAAAATCATTTTTTGCTGTTACTTTATTGGAAAAAAATACTTCAGTGTGCTTTATTTAATAACAACCCAGCTCAAGGAAAAACATGCGGCAAAATAGAAGCCAAATGAAGATGGAAACATCCCAGTGCAAAAAAACCCCTAAATCTTTAAAAGAGTGCAAACCTTCCTATAAGATATAATCACATGATAAAATAAAATGTACGATTGTCTGACAAACAGAAATGGTCAATCTTAAAGATTTTTATTAAAAGAAGTCTTCTCCTTGGAGCCCACTTTATCTAAAAGAGTTTAGAGTCTGCACCATGAAAATTCAAACATACTGCATGCACCTACATGAGATGCTTTACTGTAGAGTTGACTAATTAACTCTACAGAAAAGTGTCACCGTCTACATGTGCACCCCTATTAGACTGGAGTAAACTAATGAACTCTTCCATAGGATAGTACTGCCAGACACAAGTACTATCCTATGGCAGAGTTATTTACTCTGCAACAATACACATATAGATGGTGAGCAAGGCTGGCAGCAGCTCTGTTGGGAAGCTATGCACTGGCTAGGGCCAAGACCACCTGGGGGGTGTGGGTAGGAGGGGGGTGCAGGCTGCCTCGGGTGGGAGCAAGTGGGGCTCACCTCCGCCCCCATGTGGAGTGCTGCAGGGGCAGCCATGGGTCAGACCAAATCAATTGGCGAGCACCTGCCCACAGGCTGCATCTAATTAGTTAGTGGGCCTGATCCAGCCCATAGGCCGTATTTTTCGCACCCCTGATATATGTCCTGGAGGCAGTCCAATGCTGTTTACTAGCTGGATAAAAACACTTTCCCAGGTTTAATAGCCTCTATGCAAAACTACAGGAATGATTTTGATGTCCACAGCAAACTGCAAATTTGGTTATGCTCTGTAGTCTGTTAATCTCCCTGCTGAGGAAAATATTGCTCACCTCTCCATTCTCCCTCTGTAATTTTGATTTTATAGATAAGCAGCAATTGACATCACTGGTTTTCTTTAATTCTAAAAAAAGAAATGAAATGAAAGAGAAAGATAGTTAATAACTGTGAAAAGTCTAAAATCATGTTGTAAATGTAATTTAAAAAGCAGAACTGAATTATCTACATTGAGGAGTAGGAGGAGACTAGAAATGCAGCATCGCCTACAAGTCCTGATTGAGAACTAGGACGCCATTGTTCTAGGCACTTCAGAAACACAAAACAAAAAGAGAGGATAAGCAGCTTTTGAAAAGTGACAAAAGGTTTGCAATCTAGTATTATAAAAATAAGAAATCAACACACCTCAGGTTCTAGAATACAAAACAAGTTCAATTTGTCCAACAGCTAGTTTGTCAGAGCCTTGTTTTTCTTACATTTTCTTAATCTGTAAACTAGAGTTAGGGTAACACATCAGATTTCTAAATCAGAATGTTTCAAGGCATCTCTCTGAAATAGGCAAGAATAAAGCTTATCCGGCAGACTATTTCTGGTATCTTTAGGAAGCCTAGTTGCTAAAAAATCTAAGACATCTCTACCAAGCAGTTACAAACTGATTTTTCAAAAGCTTGTAAACCTGGAAAAATGTGGACAGATTTTCATGGGGATAGCAAGACACATTGCTGAAACATAGACCACCCTCTCCCCCACTGCCTAAAATGTAAAATATTGTTCTAAAGCAAGAAAAAAAGCTTATAAATGAAAAGGGAACCAGAATTTTTGCCACTGTCATAACTTTTTTCCCTCTATTCTGATCCTCAGAAACCACTGAATCATTTTGGCTCTCATTTTCCATTAAAAAAACTTCTGAGATAGAGATCTTGCATGAAAAATGTCAACTTTAACAATTAAACTTTAGCAGAGTTGTAAGCAACTGAATATTAATTGTTATAACGGGAAGTGCTAAACACCTTAATAATAAACAAGTGTATAGCACAGTATTAAAAAAGAATAGCTTTAGCACATATTGCAAGCTATTCAGAGAATGAGAACACATTCTAAAAACAGGACTGTATTGATCACCAAAAGAAATATTTTAATTGCTTCTATTCTGAAATGCATGAGAAAATCCAACAATAAATTCGTGAGAAAATAACTATGCAGCTATGTGTATTGACATATCACATTTTATGTATGGGTCACATCTTGCATTCCTGCACAAAACATTAACTTGATAAAGCACTCATGACACTTAATGTTACCTGTTGCAATTCTCTGGAAAATTATTGGGATTGGCTCTGTGGTAACTAACACATCTTCATCGTTGTCTGAACTGGACACATATGTGTTATCTACAAAAGGAAAATATAGTTTTGAAGACCAACCTCATTAACACCATCCAAGTATGCTTCCAGACCACACACCTAGCATGCTTCCATCGTAACAGAGGAACCACTCCATAGGCAAGAAAAAAAATCACAGTCCATAACTTTTCAATACATAATTTCTCTGCAAGATTGTTTACCAGGAAGCCAATTATAGAAGGCCTGAAGAGCCACTGTTCACATCCAGTTTCACAAAATCATGATCTAAATATCATATGCCCTGAATGAGTTAAACAAAAAACACTGAAGCAGAACACTCCTATCAACCTCAGGTGGATCTGATTCTGACCTTTTCTATGCTGTCGACTTGGCCACAGATTGTGTTTTAGGCCTGACTAGCATTCAGACCTGGCTTTGTGTTCAGATTGAGGGCTGATTCAGAACTGGCCTTGAACGTATAAAAATCATATAGGAAGTTCTCATGTGACACTGGCTGATCGTATATACACAAAACCAAAAATTATAGAAAAATGTTTGTCTGATTCAGATTACAGAAAGCCTCTCTCATCTTAAAACCTGTAGATTTGAGTTTTAATCAGAGATTCTAAATCCACTCTCTCCAAAAACATGGAGTACGAGGAAGGGGTTGAACTGTAGGTCCCTTGAGCCCATCTGTAGTGATGAGTAACAAGGTGCAGGGTATTCTTTGTGAGAAGGATCTCTGCTGGAAATAATTTCCACTGAAACATTAACCAGCCACTGAATGGTAACACGTTTTGTTTTCTATTGAATTAGTTGGTTTTATGGGTTGAAAGTAATACGTTTGGTTAAAAAAAAGAGTCAAAACAAGGACTCAGTAATGCTGACCATCCTGGTCCCAATCCAGAAAAGCACTTAAACCAGTATTTGTGCTCATTGAACCCCTTTGACTTTAGTGTGACTATCTAAGTGCTTGTAGTTGAAGCATAAGATCATATAATTTTATTATTACTACTATTAATATGATTTAAAATCTATATTGCAGCAGGACCCAGAGCCCCGAACAAAGATCAAGACCCAATGGTGCTTAAGCACTTTACAGATATATTGTGACATGGACCCTACCCTAGTGAGCTTACTATCAAAGATCAGACCATGACCTCATATGGCAGTTACCACATATCCCTCTCTTGCAGCTACATCAGCTGATCTTTAGCTACAATGCCCCCCACCTCCTCTGTGGATAAGAAGCTACATTGCCACCCGCGTACGAAAAGAATGTGACTTCCTAGTTCACAAAAGGAAGTCATGTAGCTATGTTCGTTCTCATTCATATAGAGACCAACAGAGCCATATGCTACCCCACACCATTGCCTGCTACCACTGCTACATTGTCCTTCCCAAGGCCTTGCTTGGATAATGTGCAAATAGGTCAATAAAGGTCAGCATCAAATTAATGTCTGCAAACTAATGTACCTCACTCTTGAATACCATACCCCAGACAATATACAGCATGCACAGGAATTGTTTCAGCTGTTCAGCCAGTTCAGTTTGTGGTGGGTACAGCTTCCCACGTATTGCCACCCTGTATTGTATGTTCTGCCTCGGAAAATAGATTTGAATGACTGTGCCCCTTTGACAGGGAACTGTGCATCTATTTGTGTGTTGCACCTGCCTTTCTCATTGGTATGACATGAAACATTCACAGTGTTGGGTGTACATCTGCATGATTATTTCTGGGTATGTAACACATGCAAGCTTCCTTCTGATACGTGAGTACACAGCTTCTCCACTATGTACTCTAACAAGTTTGCATAAGTCACAATTTGGGTCTAAATATGCCAAGTATGTAAGGATGGGAGAAAGCAAATCTATGCATTCGTATTTAAAATAATAGTGTAGGATATGGCAGGAAATATAAGCATCTGTACTGCATAGCATGCTAAACTACCTACAGCATATAAAATGACTAACATCTACATATACCAAAGTAAAAGGATACTCCATTACATCTTTTATAGACTTTTAATTATAATCTCTTTCACTGCACATTGTTTGTCATTCTCTTTTGGAAACCTGAAAATACATTTTGCACTGGCAATTTTTTCCCCTAATGGCAACTCTTGATTTTTTTTCTACTAGTAAATCTAATGGAAGTTGAAACTTAAATCTCTCTCTCTCTCATTCTCTCTGGTTTACTTTCTTGGCCCTGATCCTGCAATGAGACCTGTGCAGGATATTCAACATGATGCCTGGGCACAGGGACCCATTCACTGCAACATCAGGATCCTCAAGCCTCAGGACATTATTATAGCTGGTAATGATACCAACTGATTTTTTAGAACAGAAGGATGTTTTCATTAACACAATATGTGAGAAATCCACACATCATTGGCACAACAGACAACAACGGCTCTTCAGATAACATCAACCAGCGTGCATCACTACGGACATTTATTCATGAGAAAAATACTCAGTATATGGTAATGTCTCTCACAAGGCTCAGGAAGCTAGACAGTATTGATTCCTATTAATCAATAGGAATCAATGTAGTTTTGCTTACTTATTGATGTTATATACCATAACAGCTCCTTTGGAACATAATTCTTGTTATAATGTGTCAATATGATGAAGAAATCATTTCAAAGAGATTTGCTGGAGCCATTATTGCATTTTCTAAAAATATCAGTGACACTTCCATAATTTCAGCAATGTGTAAACAACAGTGAGGCATTATTCTCTCAACACCATTGCTATTTATGTTCCTCAGCATGGTATATAAGAACAGTTTTAGCTTTCACTTTGTATCTGAAAATTTTTAATAGTATCCATTATTAAAAATTCTTGCATCTCATTTTGATTTTAGTATAAATGATTAACAATCAACTTTTTAAAAACCTCTCAGAAGTTTGTGAAACAATTTGTTCATATTAAGGTGGTATCAACACTAATACCAATGCCATATTGGTGATGAGATACACGTAAAGTAATGCATGAAGCTAGTATCTCCATGATATCTCAGATGTTTTTGTGTGTACGTAATATAGGCAGAGAGGGATAGTTGCACATTTTAGTCTGAAGTCAGGAAAAAAGCAAGATAGATTTGCACTTTTACAGACTAAATCAGAGATGTATAGCATAAGCTTTCATAGGCAAAGGGCTTACTTCATCAGATGCTGAGAAGGGGCTGAAGGAATCAGAGCTGCTAAATACAAAGGGTAGGGAAGGGAAGAGGAAAAATGAGATGAAATGCTGAAACAGGCAAGGTGGGTAGGAGAGAGGAAAACAAAGAAGTTAACCCAGTGAGGGACACAGGGTTTATGAAAGGTAATCCAGGTAATGGGGTAAGAATCTGAAGCAGACTTCAAGGCCTGTCATAAATATAATGGCATATTGAGAAATTCTGTGCCAGTCGCTCTCAATTCATCTACATCTCTACCATCATCATATATATTACCGCTTGTTTACAATGCCTCTTTGCTGACTACTCTGGACAAACAGGGCAACCCCTATGTGTAAAAATGAATAAACACTGATCTGACCTCAGTTCCACACAAGCCCATGGTAGAGTGTTTTAACCTCTGCGGATAGTCCCCTGCTGACCTCACAGTACCTGTTCTTGGACAACAACACTTCAAAATGAACTTGACCAGGAAATTGGGGAACAAGAAATCATCCCTAGACTGGATTGCATTAAATTCAGTCTAAACCAGAGGTGTCAAGCTCATCCAGCTTACAGGGTAGTCTGTGGGCTGTATCGAGCCCACAGACCAGCTTGCATTCTGAACCAAGTGTGTAGGGTTGATCCAGCACTGATGATGCATACAGTGCGTGCCCTCAACCAGCCCCCGGGGCTGCATGCAATGCAAACACCAGCTCCTGGTCCAGGCACTCCGTGCTGCACATGCCAGCCCCAGCCCTGGCCCCATATATGGTGCATGGCACACTGTGGCGGTCCAGGGTACATGTTGCATAAGGCACCTGGACCAGTTAGGGCATACACTGCATGTGACACCTGCACTAGACCAGCCAAAGAGAACTTGGTCCAGTGTGCAGGCCTGTCTGTGTACTTGACCCAGACCAGCCCCGCATCCAGTGTGCAGAGCTCGTCTGGCATGGACACAATGTGAAGCACACGCCCTGAACCAGCCCTGCGCACTGCATACAGTATGCTTTGGCTCCAGGTTCATGAAACATGAGTCAATTGGGGTCAGTCCGGGGCACATGCTACAAGTGGCACATGTGCCAGTTCAGTCCTGCATGCTGGATCCAGCACATGGGGACTGTCTATGGACCTGATCTGGAGTAGCCTTAGATCCAGTGTGCAGGGCTGGTCTGGCATGTTAATCCAGCCCCTGTGCCATGTGCACCCCACATCAGATCGGCTCCACAGGTTGCATGCAGCATGTGGGGCTGGGGCTGGGGCCGGCACATGCACTGTGCAGGGCTGATCTAAGACCTACAGGCATCACAGCAGGCTGAAGAATAGGGCTCTGCAGGCCGGATCTTTAACACCCCTGATCTAAACCAGGACGGTGGATTCTTACTCTATTACTAGATTACCTTTCATAAACACTCTGTCCTTCAGTAAATTAACTGCTTTTTTTGTTTCTCTTCTACTCACCTTGCCTTTCCAGCAGTGCCTTTCCTTCCCTTCCCCCCCGACCCTTTGTATTAGCAGGTCTGTTTCTGCAATCCCTTCACAACATCTGATGAAGTAAGCCCTTTGCCTATAAAAGCTTGTTACACATTTCTGATTTAGTTAGACTGTAAAGGTGCCTTTTGCATAACACGTGTCATATATGTGACACGACATGAGTGCTTTAGAGCAATTTACCCTGGGTTTTACTCTGTAATAAATGTATGCTGTAGGAAGGGGCAGACACACAAAAATAGCTGTCTCAAACTGACTGCCTGAAGCAGTTGTTAATACAGTGCCTCATCACTAGGTGGCAGGGAGCCAGTTTGTATTCAGCAAAAATCTACCCACAGGATTAATTGATAAGGGGGATGACCATCTGATCTGTATACCGGCTTAATTTAAAATG